GGGGGGTATAGGATGCGAGGTGTGGGGTTAGCCTATGCTTGCTGTAGTTGCCCAAATCTAAACACTGGATGCAAGGATTCTGCGCTGAACGGGTCGTGAGGCTGTTGGTCATGAGAAACATCGAACGCTGTCAGCGGCAACTGCAGCATGGCGGATTGCCAGCATTTGCCAGCTCTGCCGATGCCTCACATCGGGTGACCCCTGGGTTGCCTCTGAGGCTCGCGCATTGACTTCAGTAGTTTTGACCAGAGACGGTGGAAGGAGCAGGAAATGGCTTGGGATGACCAGATTGGCCAGAAGCAGCTTGATTGGTTAGAAGTCGATTCTCACAGGACGTTAGACGAATCAGATCTGGGCGGCATGGGTGGCTGCGATGCAGATGCTGAAACTAAATCGAAGCAGCCAGATCAGCAGGTCAGAATGCACAAGCAACGCACAGAAGACCATTCGACATGGCTCAAATTACAGGGTTCGCGGCTTTCGCACCTCCCCTGTTGTTTGGGGCTTGAGGTGTTCCAATCATTCACGTCTAGGGTCTATGGTCTGAAGTGTTCGACGTCTTCCGAAATGACTTGAATTTGTCTTCGAAATTTGTGCTCGCGGGGTATGCGTAAAAGGTAGGGTTTAGAATTCAAGGCTCAAAGTCTCACAGTCAGGGCTCAGGGTTCAGGACATGCAGGTTCTGGGCAAAAACTCGGAATCCAGTGTTAAGCATGAGAAGCCACATTCAACTTGTGGTTAGTTAGTATGTAAGGTGTAGGATGCAGAGTTGAGGAGCAAGTTTGGAGGCTGAAGTTGAGGGTCTGCCAGTATGCTTGGGTTTTGGCTCCTGTTTTGGGAGCGTTTCGTTGTTGGTTCTCGCATGTGCGCCCTTGAGCTGCGCTGTGTTGTGCTTCAATCTGAGTTTCTTTCGCACTTTCGCTATGATGGCACTCGCGCCTTGGTCATCTGACGCATGCGACCTTGCGCGTCCCGCCACCGAGTCATTTGGCGTGGTCTTGTATTCTGCTGACGATCGCGGAAAGCTCGGGTCTTCATGGGGCTAACGGTCATGGAGACAGCCAGGAGACCTCAAATCTGTCAAACTATGTTGCGATTTCAGACCACTCCATAGGTGCCCAAATGCCTGGCAGGCCTGATCCCAGTCTCCCAGCTTTATAGATTCCCTGTCGCACCATTGCAAAGCTTTGTGCTCCGCATTGGATCCAGGGTGCAATCAGTGGAGTGGAGTGTATACACAACTTCTACGAGCAATACGGTTTTAAGGAAGTGGCGGCTAACCAGGAAATTGTCTTGCACAGCAACCCTTTTTGTGGCTGAGGCGCCGCTGCATCGATGGTGAAGGGCTTTGTTGGTTATTCGCAGGCCAGGAGCCGAGCAGCTTGGATGACTTCTCCAAAGGCAGAAGGCTAGCCATGCAATGCCAAGTCTCAGCTGATCTTGTTCACAG